GCTTCAATTTGGCATCCTCCTGCCTCAGCCTCCCAGATGAAGACCAACTACGGATGACCCCAGTAAGACCACTATTGATCAGCACCCATATGGGATTTATGTGCTGTGAAAAGTTACTGTTTGTGTGTCAGTTGAGATCAACAGCAAGAAGCAGAAAACCTGCCTTTTGGTGGCTTAAACTAAGAATAGTTTGTCTTTCTTATGAAACAAGAAATCTGAAGGGAGGTGGATTTATGGTGCCAGATTCAGCATGTCTGCCATTGTCTTGGCCTCATGGTCAGAAGGGGCTGCTGTAGCTCCAGATATCACATCCCTGTTCAAGGTAAGAAGGACAAAGAGGGTTGTGGAGAGGAGACAGATAAGGCAATCTATAAGTATTCCTTTTTTATGCAGAAAGCAAGACTCCATAGAAACCTCCAGCAGACTAATGTCTTTCTGGCTACAATCATGGCTACCCCTGACTCCAAGTCCATATACTGTGAGTCCCATTGTCTCCCGGGAGAAAGTGTCAACCGCATAGGAGGAAGGGGGCAGTATGTTGGGCAGTTGAAACCTTTCCCCAAAGATAATCTGCCTTCAGCTAATTATCTGAACAATGGTAGCCAGCGTGGTCCCTCTGTTTGTAACAACATTTCTTCCTGATTTCTCGCCCGCCCCTGTGGCTGAGTATTCATCATCCGGAGTTTGCTTAGTGCTACTGCAGTGGGGTGGGGCAGAGGCAGAGAGGAGCAGCCAGTGTTGCCCAAGTCAGGACGCAGAATGGAGTCTGAGTCGTAGCCCGTCAGCCACGAGGCAGGAGGGACGGTCCGGGGCCCCCAGGAGAGGCGCCCAGCTTGCTCAGCACCCAGCACGGCACCGGCCTGCGCTCTGCGGTCCTCGGTCCTCGGAGCCTGGGCTGCGGGTTCCACTCACCAGGCCAGGAGTCCTGACCAGAAACTTTGCTGGAGGTGCGGCCTGGCCGGAGCTGGCTGGGGACTCCACGAGGCAGCATCCAGCGCTGGCTGTGCCCGGGGCTTCCCTGAGCCCATTGGGAAGCACAGGGCCCCAGGGCCCTCCCTGGAACTGGCGCCGTGCGCCCTGGAGGACGAGTGTGGGACAGTGATGCCCAGACCTACACGGCCGGGGCTGTGCATCTCCGCCCTCCGCCCCCGGAGGCCCCAGCCTTCCGATGCTCAGCGTGCCTGACAAGCCTGTCACCGACACCGTGGCTGGACTGAGTTAGGCTGATGAGGAGGGCTCACTGGGTGCCTATTTTTGGGCAATTTGTGGCTTTGGCTGAATTGCTTGTTGTCACCTCGTTAGCTGTGATGTGGGATGGGCCGGCTCCAGGCGGCCTTGCTGAGCAGGACCGGGGCTTCTGGACACCAGGTCTTCAGTGGGGAAGTTGGAGTTCCCAGGACCTGGGCAGAGCCCCTGGTGGGGACTTCCGTCCCGGTCACGGGTCTAGAGCTCTCCAGGCCACATGCCTTAGTCACGTGGTTGCTGTGGGTCCTTGGGCTGAGAGGACCCCAGGCCAGGGGTCCCAGGTCGGCCGCAGGCATGGGTGTGGCTGTCACCCCCAGCCCTCGGCATGGTCCCCTCTGTGGGCCACAGGCTCTGCCAGGTTCTTCCCACCGAGCCCGCTATGCAGCAGGATGTAAGGGCAGCAGAGCAGGGATGGCGGACCATGACACCTGGCCGTGGCAGGTGGCAGCGGGAGATGTGTCCACACCGGATTCATCCCCTAGCTGCCACAACCAGTGGCCACAGATTGCTTCACAAAACAGAACTCTGTTTCAAACAGTTGTTGAAGCCGGAAGTCCAAAGCTGAGGAGTGTGGGGGCAGGGCGGTCCCGGCAGGGGCTGAGGTCACCTGTCCCACGGCTCCCGCCCGCCCTCCTCCTTGGCTGCCGGTGGGTAGCGTAGACCTGCTGTGGGGCTGCATCACCCGATCTCTGCGCGTCCTCCTGTGGCCTCGGACTGTGTGTCTTCTCCTGTTCTTTCCCTTCTGTGGACACTTGTCCTCTGATGCAGGTCCCCAAATCCAGGATGTCTTTCTTTAGATCCTGAGATCCATCTGCGGAGATGCTCTTCCATCCATCTGCAGAGATGCCTAAGTCTCTTTGGGCTGCGATAACAAAAATACCAGGCGAAGTGATGTCAGTTTCTCCCTGTTCTGGAAGCAGCGGCCTGAGACCAGAGGGCGGTGTGGACGTATTCGTATTCTGAGGATTCTGCAAGGGCCCTGCTAGCCTGCAGTCTGCTGACTTTTCACCCTGTTCTCCCATGGTGAAGAGCAAAAGCTCTGAGGAGCAGACAGAGGCCCAGAGAGGGTGGGGCACTTCCCAATGGTCACACAGCAGAGGGAATTTCAGCCCCGTGCAGAGTGACCCCAGTGTTCACACTTGTCTCTGTCTCCACCTTGCTGCCAGACCCTTGCTCCCACTCCGTGCCTCAGGCTCACCAGCCCTGGCTACTCCACGTTAGCCTCTCTGTCTCCCAGTAGCCCGGACTGAGTGTAGGTTTGAGAGTCCACGCTAGTTCCTAAGCCGTCTCGGAGTCAGGACAGGTGCCCGCTGCCCTCCTGGGGATCTCTCCCTCTGGAACCCATGAGCATCGTGGTGTCTTTACCTGGATACCGCACAGCTCTAAGTCCAGCCTCAGCTTCTCTGAGCAGCAGGGTGAGTTGGCGCCCGGGCCGCAAGGCAGTGTCAGGAGAATGCGGCAGAGAGGAGGAAGAGGAGAGGCCCAGCCGGGCCTTGTTCCCCGTTCCTGTCTGCCTTCGTGTGGGCTCCAGAATTCAGCCTGGATTCCCACCACGCCGGGGTTCCTTTGCGCTCCCACCTTTGCCTGCCTGTGTTCTTCCTTGTTTCCCAGTTTGCTGTGGTGGGATATCCACAGACCTCCCACCCTATGCCCCAGGCTGTACTGGAAAATGTTTCACGTCTCAGCTGACATCTGTCAGCCTCCTCGGCTGCTCGCATCTCGTTGTTCGCCTCTAGACTCGCCCCATGGTGCGGGGTGAGTCTTAAATCGGTGCAGGGAGGAGCAGAGCTGGAGTCGGATTCAGGCTCAGCCTCTCTGTCCGGTATCCATCCCCTAGGTTTCAGCATGTCTGAGCCTACGTGGGTCCAGCATCCAACAGAAGAAGAACCCATGGAGCCAGGAGAAAACCTGAGCTCTTAGCCAGGTACCCTGCGACTGTCTTCCTGCTGGGCTCTTCCAGGGCACCTGTTTCCTGGAAGGCAGGGAGCCTGGGCTTCCGGCTTGAGTCTGGAGCAAGGGCCGGGCCCCTCTCCTTTATCTGTAGGGTAGGGATGGTGACGGTACCTGTACGAGTTGAATAGTGTCCTCCAAATTGGAATCTCCCTGAAGTCCTGGAACCGGACCTTATTTGGAGGCACAGATGTCTCCTTTAAACTTTGAGGGGTATGTTGTGAGAACACAGTAGATGCCTGAGGGCTCAAATAGTACCAAACTCAATGCATACTATATTTTTTCCTATACATCCACACCAGAGATAGAGTTTAATTTATAAATCAGGCACAATCAGGCATCAACGATAACAATACAGTGGAACCATCCTAACAATTACTGTAACGAAAGCCATGTGATCTCTTTCTTTTTCTCTCTCAATGTAACTTAGGGTCCTCTGCTCACCCCGCTTGTGATGCTACAACATAGCACAAAGTGAAGGAATTGACATAGCTTCAGACTAGTGTGTAGGAGCTACCTGGACCCAGGCACTGTGACACCACAACAGTCTGTTTTCCCACTGGAAGGGCTGCCAAGTGATTATCATGTGGGTAGCATATACAGCATGGATACACTGGCAAAAGGATTATCCACACCCTGGGTGGGTGGAGTGGGACGACATGGAATTTCACTGTGGTACTTGGAATGGTGTACAATTTATAATTGATCAGTGGTTCATCTCTGAAATTTTCCATTCGGTTCTTTGCAGATGTAATTATTTAAGATGGGTCATACTGGGTTAGAGTGCACCATAACTACCATGATTGGTCCTCACAAAAAGACGCAAATTTGGGCCCTGAGACAGACACAGAGGGGAGGAGCCAGGTGTCCTCCTGTTACCCTTCAGAGGGAGCTGCTCTGCCCGTACCTTGAACTTTTGGCCCCCAGACCTGCAAGATCACACATGTCGTGTGTGTAAGCCCCCTGCCTGTGGCACTGAGGAAGACGATGCCACTCCTCACCACACTGTTGGGAAGATCCGATCCAATCCACAGTCCTCACTGTTCCTGCTCCAGGCCGTGTGGCCCCACTTACGTCTCCAGCCTTGTGTGACTCTTTGAGGCACCTGCCTGAGCCTTTAGATGAATCAGGCAGGGACTAGGGGAGGAGCAGAAGGAAGACATATGTGAGGAGGAAAGTCAGGCCTGCTCCCAGCAGGGCTGGTGCACTCACACTGCAGGGGCCTTTGACTCACCCACCCAACAGGCGAGGGTGCCAGGATGCTCATCCCCACCCCTTCAGTCATGGGTTTGGGTTGAGGACAGTGATTTTCTGGCTTTGCTGGTCAGTTGCCCAGACTACAAAGTGGGCTCTGCTGGCAAGGAAGCACCCCGGGCAGAGGAGCGACAGAGGCCAGGCAGGTGTGTGCTCAGCGGGGGAGGGCACGGGAATCACTGAGCCACAGACAAGGTCTGCACCACACATGCGCACGGACGTCCCAGGGCCATGGTCACTGGGACAGGGTCTGCAGCAGAGTGTCCACCTGCGGGTTCCAGGGCCTCTGTCACGAGTGCCCTTGTCTGCTTTCCTCCTGGGCTGCGAGCTTCCCAGGTCAGGGCCGTGACTTCCGTCTCCTGACCCTGCTCTTGCTTCCCCAGCAGAGCTGCTGAAACTCAGCCTAAGCGTCTATTAAAGGGACAGCACTGGTCCCCTGTCACACTTCACAGACACGGGGACGATTGGGCTGAGCCCAGCTGCTCGGCCCCCAGGGGCACGGAACACACTGGAGCCCAGGTGTGAACTGCCTTTCTTGTTCTGCTGCACAGGTCTGCATCGTGCAGAAGCGAGACACGAAGAAGATGTACGCCATGAAGTACATGAACAAGCAGAAGTGCATCGAGCGAGACGAGGTGCGGAACGTGTTCCGGGAGCTGCAGATCATGCAGGGGCTGGAGCACCCGTTCCTGGTCAACCTGTGGTGAGTGGCTGCGCTGCTCGGGGCGCCCAGGCAGGGACCTTTGGGCCGTGGGGTGGGGGTGACAGGGGTGCCTGCGTTCCATATCCCGGTCCTTGCGGCATTCGCTTTCTGCCGAAGTCTTCAGGCCTGAGCTTCGCGTGCATTTTCCCTCTGTTCTCTGACTTGGGGAATCTTAGCCTAAAGTAGATTCAGCAGAGAAGGTTGTGTATGTTTGAGAAAACACATGGCATGTGACAAGGCAACGGCGGACAGCGTCTTGGACGGGGGTCCGGCTCTTCAGAAGGTCAGTGCTGTGTGAGTTGCAAGAAGGACAACTGGGAACCCCAGTTTCGCTCCAGGCAGAGGGACAGCCCAGCGTGGGTGTGCTGAATTCCAGGTTCTGAGTCCGGCCCACAAGGCCTGCTGTAATCCAAATTCCAGAGCCGCCTTTTATTTTGAGACAAGGTCTTGCTAAGCTGCTAAATTGCCCAGGCTGAGTGAGAACTTTCAGTCCTCCTGTCTCAGCCTCCCAGAGTGTTAGGATGACAGCTGCACCCTGCTAGGTGTGGCTACTAGGCATCTCCTTTTCCGGAAAACCTCACATCGCTGCAGCGTCCCCAGCCAGCTCCTGCATAATACTGGCTCCAGCGCAGGCCCCCAGGACGGGAGGTTTGGCCCGCACAGGCTGGGTGAGCCTTCCCCACAGCCCCCACCTTGCTCATGCGAACCCAACACTGCCTTTGCCACCGAGCACCCAGTTCGCTAGTTTTCTTACGTTCTCTGAGAAACGCCTGCTCCTGGCAAGCTGCGCTGTTTCCCAGGGCTGTGCTGTGGGAGTGAACGCAGCATCCGACAGGGGGCGGCTCCTTCAGTTTCTTGAACTGGATTTAGTGGAAGATGAGGACGGGCTGCTGTGGGAAAGGAAGTCCCAGTGGCTCCTTTGGCCGCTCGCTCCCTTCACTCGCCAGCCTTGGCAGCAGCAAGGCAATCCTGCGGGCCGTCTGCCGCATCCTTCTTCCGCGCTGCCTCCATACCCGGAGGCACTTGGAGCCTGTGGTTAGAGATAAGAGGGGATGCAGATCTATCTGTCTGGAGCATCGAGGTGTGTGTGCTGTGTGCCCCAAACCTGGCATTTCCACGCGGAAAATTCCCACTAGATCTGGGCATGAGAGTCTGGGTAGGAACAGAAAGTTGTTCATCCAACGCTTCCATTGTTTGGGGGAAGGAACCTTACTATTTTGATAGCTGGACAAAAGAATTTAAAACAATAAATTTCTAATCTAACTATAAATTGCTACCATCCATTCATTGCAAAGTTCAGAAAATAAAACAAGAGAGAGAACAACGCACCAGAATCCCACCATGCCTAGTTGCATTTGAGACATGCAATTCTTTTTATTCTCCTTTTCTCATATGTATTGATATCCATGAAATGTCAATGATTTTTTTATACTTAGGACAGCTATCTTGACTCTATATGTCATGGATATAAAGAACACACCCAGCAATTCTGTGGTTAATGCTTTCAAATTAATCGTCTGGTGGGAGCCCTATCTCATCGTTCCTAACGCTTTAAGTCATTGTCAATGGTTAGGAACATTCTGCTGTGGATAAGACAAGGAGCTGCCTAACCCTGCTCCGCACGTCCAGGTCACTAAGGCTGCTCCTGGCTGCTTTGCCAGTGTGCATGCTGAGCTGCTGCCCCCACGCCCGTGCTTTGCCAGGAGAGACCCCTCAGAGTGGACCGAGGGGACGAGCGCACGTCAGAGTGAGCACGGTGCATGTGGAGGCAGAGTTTGTGAAGACTCAGCAGATTAGCGACAAGTGCGTTTTGCTACATGGGTGTTGGGTAAGGAAGAAATCCTCTGCCAAAGCTGGTCTCTAGTGATGCTGAATCCGCATCATATGCAAGAAAAGCAGCGTCTCGCTGCTTGATCTTGGAGGCGCCTCTCAAGCTCTCTGGGCCTCAGGATCCTCACTTGCTAATGGACACAATAACCCCCTCGCTGGTAGGAACATTTTGAAAATTAAAAGAAATGATATGGAAGTGTATTTTCTGTAAATGAAAACATTATTCACCACAAGAAGTAATATGTGTGTGTATCTATATGTATCTGTATGAGAATAGATTGGGTGATCACAAACATATGATAAATGTGTAGATGGCAGATAAAGGATAGATGATAAAGAGGTTAGATACATGGATAAACTGATGGTGGATGGATGGATGGATGGATGGATGGATGGATGGATGGATGGATGGATCAATGGATCGATATTGAGATGAATGGATAAAAGGATAGATAGATGTCGGGATGGATGGATAGAAAGATAGATAGATAGACAGACAGATAGATGGCCAGACAGTAGCCCTTCAAGCATATGTTAAAGGATGGATCATTGGCCCCTGGTCAGTGCTGAGGCCTTCACACACTGTATGCCCAGGATTTAATTATAGGGGGGGAAGCCGACACTCACCCAAGCACATATGGTAATGTCTTGGCTTTTACAAAGCAGGAGTCTGGAAGCTCAGCTGACCTGGTCCCTCTCTGCGGTCCGCTGTGCTAGCTCTATTTATTTCTGTGGCCAGGACTCCGGGTGCAGCCCCAGCAGAGGCTAAGGTGTGGCCGACCTGGCTGAGGCCAGCTGCCCCTCCTGAACTTGCAGATGTGGCAGGAGGGTGGACCCGAGGCTCGTGAACAGACCAGGAGGGAAGGGTATCTCTAGGGGGAACTTTTAGCTATTTCCAGGAGAAGCCAAGGAAAGTCTGTGCTGGCTGCACGCTCAGACCCTGCTACCTACCATTCGGTCCATGCCAACCCTGCCTGTCTCTCTGCTCATGGCCCTGCCTGCCCCAGCTGAGCTGTGGGTCAGACTCAAGATCACCTGCCACCCCTGCCATCAGCCTTGCAGGAAGCAAATGCTAACATTTCCTGGGTACTTGAACTTGATAGGGATCGCATTTAACTTTCTTTTCCTGTGTGGTACTGGGGGTTGAACTCAGGACCTTCACACTGAGCTACATCCCAAGCTCCCTCTTAGTGAGACAGTTTCATTAAATCACGAAGGCTGAGCTTGAACTTGGGATCCTCCTAGGTCAGCCTCCCAGAGTGCTGTGATTACAGGGCTTCACTACCATGCTTGGCTTATTTTACTTCATTAATCTCCTCATAAACTCATTATTTTCTCTGTTAGCCTCCTAATATTATTATACCCATCTTGCAGATGGGGCAACTAAGTCATCCCCTTATTTGTGGAGGTGATGGGACCTGAGGTCAGGCCTTCTTGCCTTGGGGCCCACACTCCTAACCCTTTGGCTTGGGCTTCCCTGTAGCCCACCACACCACAGCCCAACTCCTCCCTGTGTGGAGCCCTCCCTCCAGCATCCTGTGCCTCCTGGAGCCTGCAGAAGAGTCCCTAGGGCAGGACTGCAGCCTGGTGCACAAGGACACACACTCTGTGCTCATCACCGCCCATCTCTCTGCTCCTGTGCGGGTGAGATACGCTGCTGGGAGAGCTCGACTCTCCTTCCTCATCGCCCTCCTCTGCTGCTGCTTCCACGCAGCCCCGCACTGATTCCTTTTCCTGACAGTCCTGCCTGGAAGAACGAGGGATCTGAGCTCCCCGGCTGTGATAACCCAAGCTGAGTTGTCAAGCACAGTATTTCCACCTGTTCTAAAGCGAAGCCGCTCTGCTGTCTTGGGCTTCAGACAAACAGCAAAGGAGAAAGAGAAAGAAAAATGAGCCCAGAGAGGGAAGGTGGCATACTGTCTATGGGGAACCCTGGGAAGGCTTTGGAGCAGGGGCCCAGCACCGTGACCCGCAGGTTCTGGTCCCAGCTCTGGCTCTTACCTGCCTTGAGGCAGCCATGGACCAGTGTGTGCTTCCTGGAATTGGTAGATTGGATCCCTAACTTCCCAGCGACCTAGGTGGAGACAGGGCATTTTGGAGGTGATCATGGCTGCATGAAGCTGTAGAGAGAGGCCATAATCAACAAGCCGTGGCCAGATGTGGGGAAGAGTATGGATGTTGAGAACACAGCAAAATGTGGCCATCGGCAAGCCGGAAAGAGACTCCTCACTAGGCCCCTGACGCAGCTGTGGCCCTGAGCCCAGAATCCTGGCCTGCAGAACTGTGAGAACCAGGACATCGTGCATGGACGTCGGTGCAGCAGCTGGAGCTGGTAATGTGGAGACCTTGAGAGGGAGTCTATTTCCTCTCTATGTCTGTTTCCTTATTTGTGAAATGGAAATGAAAGAATAGGGAAGTCCTGGAGCTGTTCTATGGATAAGATCCGTGATATGTACTGGCTCACCCACAACTTAGAGGAAGAGAGGGTTACTTGGCTCATTTCAGTCCCTCATCAAGGCAGGACAGTGTGGCAGAGGGGCCTGGTGCAGGAGAGCTGCTCATGGCATGGGGCACAGGAAGCAGAGAGAAGGGAAGAGCTGGGAGGGGGATGAACCCTTCCAGGCCCCGCCCCAGGACCACCTCTTCCCATCCAGCCCCGCCTCCTAACAGCCAGCCAACTGTGATGTTCCTATAATGCAGTCACTTTCCAAAGGTCCCACCAGTTAACGCAGGAGGCTTTAGGGGTCATCTAGATAGAAACCAAGTATCCCTTGGTCTGGGACAGGCAGAACTACCCAGGAAGGTCTGCTGGGTCATGGGTATGCTTGGCACCTGTGTTTGAGGTGGGCTCTGGCTGGCTGAGCCCTCGGCAGTCAGGTGGCCCCTGCCTCTGTGTAGACTGTGCTTGCATCTCCTACAGCACCAAATGTGGAAGAGGCATCCTGAGCTTTCAGTGCTAGACTTGCCTAAATGAAGGTTTATGGGTAGGTGGTTCATGCCTGTTTTCACGCTGTGCTCAAAATTCATTTCCGCTTCCCCATTTGGCTGTGTTTACGAGACTTATTGTTAAGATGCTTTGTTTAAAGTCAGCCAGTGGGCACCTGCTGCTGTCGCTACCAACACAACTGTGAGAGGAAACCCCTGGCGGGGTGAGGAGTGAGAACAGATAT